GCGGCGGGTGAAGGGGGCGCAGCGCCGCGGAGGTTTGCAGCTCGCCTTCGCGAAGCGGGCCGGAGCGCGTCCCCGGGTTGCCTGGCCCCTAAATGGGAGCAGGAGAGCTGTTTGGCTCGGAGATAAGAATAACTCCGTTAGCCGGGTTTACTCTGCGTTCGGAAACAGGCTCCTGTTGCGCTCGCCTTGGCTGCTGGGGTTCATGTCCTTCTTGTGTTATTTGCATGTTCTTGAAGACAGTTGAATGGCTAAAAACTTGTCAGCAGCGTGGGGGAAATGTGATTTTACCTTCCCACTGGCAGCCAGCCAAATTGTCTCATTGAATATTTGATGAATCTCTTTATTAAGGGGGGCACTCAGCACTGGTTTACTGTCGTAATTTTAACTGCAGGATGTAGGTGGGTTACATGTTTTCGTGAGACGTTTGTGACTACACTTTTCATATTTCTGCTTGTAAATAGAGCTTGAGTCCGTGGCTTTTGAAACGTGAATTGCTTTAGAAGAAAACCTCACTTGAATTCTTCAGTATCAGAGTTGCAGTGAAGTTTCCTGTAAAAAAAACAAACAAAAAAACCCCCCAACAAAATAAAAATGTCAAGACCAAGTATTTTGTAAAAGGTCTTACCCCCTCCCTCTCCAAAAAGGAAATTTGCTACTGAATAGTTAATCTAGTAGAAATTAATGCTTATCCTTAGTAATAAGGGGATATTGTCTAGAAGAATCTCAATGCTTAAATTTCTTCTCTCTCCTCTTGCACCGTCACCAATCTAGAAGCCTTGATGGAATAGCTCCCGGTGACATTAGCTCATCTTTCCGGTTTTAAAGTGTGCTCAAATATCCCTCAGTGGTATTACATCAGTGCGACAATCCGTACCGTGACAATGTCCTCACATCCATGAAACACACGCACGCAAGCACAGTCCGAACAAAATCGGCCCTTCCGGCACAGGTTGGAGTTCCCAGCAATTTAGTTCCAGCTTGTTTGCTTTGTTGTCATCGCTTCGGCATTTCAAAAGGCTTGAGCGAACCGAGGACAAAATCCCATCGATCTGCTCCTGGGCGGGTGTGAGGAAAGAGCGTGTTTTGTGTAAGAAATGGGTTCGCCCACTAATGTAAGAAATGGGCAAGTGCCATTACATCAACAAACCCGATACTCGGTGTTTTATGTTTATTGCTGTAAAACCCCTCTTCTGTGCTGCTTTACATGGAAGAACTCCGGGAGAATTTCTTTTGTCCGAGTTAAAATTCAGGCATTTAAGGAAACGGATGGCACTAAACGGCACATACTTAAAATGAATTATTTAAATGGATAATGTAACTCAGGCGAGATGAACCTGGCTCCATTTTTTTCCTTCCGAACACCAGCGGTCTGTCAGCGTTTTCTGTTAACCCTACCAGCCCCAGCCCCAAGAGGCGCCTGGCTGGGGACTGGCCATCTCCCACAACCAGACAGCCAAAGCTCACCAAAGGGCAGATCGTTAGATCAACCGGGGGGGGAGGGGTGTTATTATGTGATATTTATTTATTGATAACGATTTCGATTCGTCGCCGTATTGACAGCGGCGGAGCGGTGTTTAACCGCCAGAACATTTAACGCATCGCTGCCCAGCGCAGTGATTGCCATTTCATAGAATCATAGAATCATTGAGGTTGGAAAAGAGCTCTAAGATCATCGAGTC